CTCCTATGAGAAGAAGGGTTCCTGTTACAGAGTGAAAGGAACCTTTGAACAGCTGCACAAACTTGTAAGAAGATGCCAAAGAGCGACCGATCATCACAGTACTGCTACACATGGACGGACAGGTCAGCACAGTCATCACGCTTCCACTCGTGTCAAATCTGTGGAAGTGTCTCGGGTTGTTATGGACTACATTAATAAAAAATGTGAAGAAAAACTTGGAAAAATTCTTGGAAACTGTTCACTGGTCCCTGTACCACAGTCTGACATCGCTGCACAGATTACTTTCAGACCACAGAGCGACTCGTTCCGCCAAGCTGCCTTTGTCAGGCAGAGGTTCATCACATTTTACCAGAGAGTTGCGTCTGACCTGCACATCATATCTGTCCCTGGGGATCTACACGAGCACAACAAGCTGCAGAGAAAATTCCCAACTCTCATCTTTGAACCAAGCAACAATAAACTAACAGTCATGGGACCTTTTCCACACATAGCTGAATTTAAGGAGTTTCTTTGGAAAAATCGTTCAACCAAGCATCTGGTCAGCAAACCTCCAACAGACAGTCTGAGCAACAGAATCTCAGCGTCTTCATCGGCACACAAAGATCCTGATGATGAATCCTGCCCCATCTGTATGGAAAGAATAGTCAGAAATAAGAAAAAGACACTGCGGTGCAAGCACTCTTTCTGCAGCGACTGTCTGGAGAAAGCTTTTGTATACAAGCCAGTCTGTCCCACCTGTGGGGAGTTATATGGCACTCTAAAGGGGACACAGCCTGATGGAGGCACTATGAAGGTCACCAAAAACACTTCACCTTTGCCTGGTTATGAGAAGTATGGAACAATAGTCATCCACTATTATATTCCACGTGGCATTCAAAAGGTAAGAGTGCAGATACAAGGTCATTTTCTCTGTGATCTGCTGCCTGGTTTCAGGCAGACATGTTTGACCCGGTCAGACTCATAATTATTACACACAGAAATAAGACTAAGGCATAGGCTAAATCCAGACAGCAGAATATAAGAACTTAACTTTTAGTGTGTGTGTGTTTTTGTTACCCTTTCATGACCCCAGTCTGCAGCATCTAGGTTTCACATCATCATCATCATGTTCCATCTGCTCACCTCACTACCACAAAACTCTGGGCTGCACTTCCACCAGAGCACCACACCACTTCTCCTTTAAATCACATGTCAACATCCATCTGTTCAGAACTGCATACCCGCCATTATAACTTGGTCCTAGTCTCTTGGTACCTTGATTAGTTTTAGAGTTGTGACTCTGTTTACTTTATTTAATCGTCTGTTTTTATTTTGCTGTACTAATGTCAGGTGACCTTGAGATCGTCTCACGGAGCAATCTGAATCTAAAACAAGATACCTGATAGAGAGATAGCCTGAGTCTAGCTCCTGTCACCACCTGGTCCTGGTGACCCTTCTACTACTCTTATCAGTACCTGCACCAGATTTGATCCTGTGTGACTCTTGCAGTGGGCGTGTTTGTCCAATTGCATGACCCTCTTGGTTGTGTTGTAGTGAGCAGTCAGTCATGTAGCTTTCCATTGCCCTAGTTCACGTGTCAGTGAATTATGGCTTTGGCTAGTTCACTGTTGTATTTAATTTTATTTATATAGAACCAAATCGCTACAAGAATCACCTGGAGGTGCTTTATATTGTACTGTAAAGAAAACCCTACAGCAGGCATGTCTGCTGCCATGAGCATCAGGCAGCATTGGTCACAGCGTCGGCCCCGTCTGATCCTGCAGGGGTGACAAACTCTGCAGCTTTTGAAGTTGTGTTGTTGACACCTCAGATACTGGTCTTATCGAGGTGTTATCACCTCGTCTGTGCGGCAAAGCTTGATTTATTGCCACTGTTATACGGTCAGTGTTGGGTGTAATGTGTCACAAAAGTTCATGTTACTGGAATCACATTACATTTTTCAGTAAAACAGTGGTCTGTACTAAATTCAGTAATTACACGGTGAAAGATCAAAATCCAACACAGACTCGTGTCAACGTGAACTCTTTGATCAGAGCAGGACCCAGTGTGCTCCTGATGTCGCCAGCCTGGAGAACTGGGAGGGCTGTGTTAGGAAGGGCGCGCAATATTAAATATTCGTCACATCAAACAAAAACTCAAAGAGGTGTTTTGGAGGTCGTACTCCTGTGTACTAGCTGAGTGTACATGAAGCACACGGGTGGGTTCATTCATGTGAGACTCACAACTTGTCTTGTGTGCATAATTTTAAGAATTTCTCAGCACATATAAGCTTTACTTTTATAAAGAGTAATAAAGAAAGCAACTGCAAACTACAGCTACCTGAGAGCCAAATCCACATTGAGTCTAGGCAAGTTAGATAAAGCAGAGAAACCTTTTCTGTCTGTCTGCAGGAGGAGCATCCCAGCCCAGGTCAACCATATGAAGGAGCATCCCGGACAGCCTACCTTCCAGACTCCCCGGAGGGCAGGATGGTGCTGGGCCTGCTGAGGCGAGCCTTCGATCAGAGACTCATTTTCACCATCGGACGCTCCACTACCAGTGGCAGAAACAATACAGTCACATGGAACGATATCCACCACAAAACCTCAACACATGGAGGACCGACTCAGTAAGGACAATGGCAACACTGCAGCTCATTGATCGATCATTTTGGATTGATTGTACCCTCGGTCTCTTCTATATTTAAGGGGCGTCCACACAGGAAGCATCGCTAGTGAACATTTCAAGCACCGGTTGCAGAGATCATACTTTATTTACCACATCGGTGGTTCTTTTGTTCACTGCTGCTTGAAGTCGCTTACTTTCATGTCCATGCTGCGGTCTCTGGACGGCACCTGCTGTGTGGACGTCCCCTTACAAATGTACTGATGAGTGCATGCCAGCAGGTTTTTGCCTCCGAACAGTTCTTCCCTTGCAAAGAGAACTAGCGTGTATCGATTCCTTTATTTTACATCAGTCTGTGTTAATGTCTCAGGCTCATTATTAGTTTTCATCACAGGTGAAACTGGCTGTAGTTCAGTTCAGTTTGGTTTGTTAGTGCTAGTTTACCAGGTGCTTTCTATGTCATTTAAGTTACACACCTTACATATTAGCCCACCTTACAGCCAGACAGCCTTATGAACAACATGCTGGACGTTTCAGACACCAGCAGAACCAGGCAGCCATCTGCTGCTGGGTGGTGAGAGGATAGAGGCGAGCGTACCACAATCAAGGACAAGAGTAGACAGCAGTTAATGACGTGCAACAGTAAGAATATAAGGCAGCACTTATTTTCCTGTGACTGTGTTACAGCTACGGATACCCCGACCCCGAGTATCTCAGCCGAGTTCGAGATGAGCTGAAGGTCAAAGGAATTGAGTAAGTTTAAGGTTTGTGTCTGCACAAAGAACACTTACGATTCCTTTTCTACGTTTTGTCCCTGTTTCATGATTCGACGTTTTGAACATAAACTGTATTTAATATAACCTGTAATGTTGGAAGCAGCTAATATCTGCAAAAGAAGTAACAGTAGTAACACAAAAGGTCAAACACAGTTATGTCCCATTTCAAAAAAAGTCACAAACAGTGCATACGAGTGGATGTAAGGAGCTATGACGTGTGTTTCTGTTCACTTTGTCACAGGTAAAAGACGCAGCCGTCCCAGACTGACCGCTGCTCATCACCAGCTGAAGGCACACGAAGCGTTTCCTCTCGCTGTGCTTTCATGAGTCGTGATTTTTGACAAGAAGCCAGTTTAAGTTGATTCTCCATTAACTCCCCCCCATTAAATATCAGCTACGTTGTATAAATGCACTTTGGTAACACTAACCAGAGGTCTTAATAAGGAGGATGGCTAACATCCCCAGGGTCACTCAGTTGTGTTGTTGGACCTGCAGTGACTACGTTGTTTCACTCAGTGTCGACTAACAAACATGCAAAGTTCTGGGACGAGCGTTATCTTTAACTGTCTGATTTTTGTGTTGTTCTTTCATTATATGTATTTAGATGTTTGTACACTGATGTTTGTGACTGTCCAGAACTCCAATTTCCTTTTTTTTAAAATTATAAGCTACATGAAGCTAAATGAAGGTTATGTTGATTTCCTCTTCTGAGCACAGGCAGCCACAGCATGGCTCCTCCAGGACTGGTGGTGCTATTCTCCAGGCTGATTGGTCAGTGAGCTGTGATTGTATACCTGTTCAATCACACCTGTAACCTTGAACAGAACCTCCTCTTAAGCAGGTTAGAGTCGATGTACGAGGTGAGAAGTGAATCATCACTGAACAAACTAAAGTAACATTCAGCCCACATCACACTTTGAGCTAAAACGTTGCTCTCCAGAGCGTCCGTGAGTGTACGAAGTGTGTGACGTTTAACACACACAGAAAGAGCAAACAGTGCTTGTATGAATGAGTGTGAAGCGCTTTGAAAGAACTGTTCCATTTACTATTCAGGTTTGTGGTGACAGAGTGCTGAATGCAGTGCAGTGTATCAGTGTGTCGACCCACCGACAGGGTGACACAGCCCACTCTACCTGGTGTTTACGTTCAAACCTAAACGTCCCTGTAAGACTTCACTAGTGTGTGGTGAAGCTGTGTTCATCAGTACGCTACAGCAGGTTGCACCACACATCTGTGCCCAGCTGTGTCATCCATCATTTGGTGGACTTTGTATAAAAGTTGCATTTATTCTGACTGAATTCACTGTGTTGCAAACAAATAACAACAAAAACCATGAGTGGGTGTGTCTGTGACTTCTGTTCAATCATTTTCATTGGAATTGAAGCTGGCCTGGCAGATTAGTGCTACACAGCTCACACAAGCACAGAGTTTGGTTTAAACATCGAAGTCACACGTTATGATCTGGCTGTTCTTGGATCTGTTTTCAGGACAGTAAACAGACTGGAGGTCCCTTTATTTAGAGAGCACACATCACTTTGCTGCAACATGTCATGCCTTATGCACAAGCCTCCTGCTGTCTCTTCCCTTGTTAGATATGGAAAAGAAGAAGGCCATCCTAATTAAGCAACATCCTTCATCACGTTCATGGGGATCAAACCTGTGACCCAACGGTGTAAAACAAGCATTTAGACCAAACTATGGTTCATGGGGAAAAGGCTTTGTACATTTTGACAGCGACCCATAAACTTATGCCTAATTCAAACACATCAATAGGAGAATGTGAGGTTCGATTCTTCTGACAGTCTGACGTGTACCCAGCTATCCAACAGACGGATCAATCTGAGGAGTTCAGCTAAAATGTAGAGACAACGGCTCCACTAAGAACCACAGTGGGCAAAGATGTAAACACAGAGCTTCTGATTTACATACTGTAGGTTACACTTTACTGATTAACCCTCTGACTTCACAATGGAATTAGTCGACCAAGTTAAAATAACCTCAGAACTCCTGGGCACATCTTGAGTGGGTTCACTGAGATCACAGACCCACACTCTTTCCACTGATAGTGGTACGGTTCATACTCATTTAAACTGAAAACTGCTTCCAAGAAGAAATAATGGCATTAAAGATACACATCGATGAACATGATGCAATCAATTTGTGCAGTTCTTAAGGCCTTTTGTTTTTGGTGTGCCGTGGTTGTTACTGGTGAAGGAACCTGCTTACGTTTCAGATGACGTCCTCGATTAGACGGAGTGTCCAGGTTCCCAGACTGAGCTTGTGTGGTGCAGACAGTACATCGCATCAGAGTAACGTAAACAGTCAGTTTGGGACTTTGCTGTGTTTGGAGGTTCCTGGAGTTTCCCTGTACTGGAGAAGAGGTGGATTATGAGTCATCAGACGGAGCTCGTTTCACTCAATGAACACTTTTATTTTATGCACCCAAGACCAGGCAGCGTGAGCACATTCTGGAGGAGGAGCCTGCATTCAGCACCATGTCTCACTGAAATGTGTCATTGTAGTTGGGAACGTACCAACTGTAGCTGTCACTGATGCTGAGTTTGTTCTCTATCAAAGTGGAACATTTGATCCTTAGTAAACAGAGTAAAAAGGCGCTGTCCCACCACCTGCTGCTTTAACCCTGGCGTGCTAACATTAGCCGGTGTGTGTCTGTGAAGGTCATCAGCTCTTTCCAAACTCCTTATAGGGCTGATATTAGTCCTGCACCAAAATCTGTTTTCATTTTCATTCAAGCTCAAATCCAAAGCACCTTCTGCAGGAGCATGCCCTGGTCCACGATCGGCCGTGTTAATCCCACAGGAACTCCTCCACGAACAGCGAGACCGCTCACATCTGTATAGCTCTAGTCTTTACCAACCACACATACACACGGGACTTTATTCTGTACACTTCATGCACATCATCTCCATGACCACCTTAGAATGACCATTTACCCAAGCATGCATGTCTTGACTGTGGGAGGACTAGCTGGAGCAAACCCATGCAGCACAGGGAGAGCATGCAAAATCCACACAAAAGGCCTCAGCCAACCACGAGACACCACAGCGCTAACGACGACACGGGCGCGCCGCCCCAGGCCGACAGCACTTAGCTGCTTTTATGGTGTCTGATGTTGTTCTGCGTTGAACTGGAAACTGCCACAGCCTGATGGGAAATGACTTTTGGCTTCTCAACACTTGATGCCAGCGTTTTTGCAAACCAGAGAGGAACTTGGTTTATTATCATCATGGGTTCTCAAAGTTGTTCAAAATTGGAGCTGAAATTGCACTTCTCTAGTCAAAAGCCTGGTCCAAGTGTGAGCGAGCTATACATCAAGTTTTACTTCTTCATTCCCAACATGTAAACGACCATATAAACCAGTGACGTTACAGAGCTACAGACTGGTGTCAAATGAAAACAAAACCCTGTGGGTTAGTAAGAACATGGAGCCAGGATAGCTTCAGTGCTACAGCATCATCCGTCACTGGGTGCGTTGATGATGCAAGGCTCGCTCCATCATGTACGGGTCCGTGCTCGTGCCTCGACGGTGGCCACACTGGTATTGTAGGAGAGGTTTCATCATCACGATCAAATTTATACCGGTTTTCAGTGACTCACTTCTAACTATGCCAGCAGCACAACAGAGCCAAACCAAACAGGAGTTAGTGTCCCAACAACTGAGCAAACATCTGGAACTCAATCTGATGGTGGCGCACAGTCACAGAGTGGACCAGTACAGATGTTACTTCCAATAAATTAGACTCCAGCTCATCTAACCTTTTACTTTCCTGCTGCTGTGCACATGTACATCATTGTTGATAACCTGTGACATTTGTACCACACTCTTAAAAAAAAGAAAAACAGGATATGAATCAGTGATTTCAGGCCTACCCATACCATCAGCAAGCACTTCATGTGACGTGGCATTTAACCACAGCTAGTTTTTATGAAAGTGAACACAACTGATGCAGGGTAGAGACAGGGTCATGGAGCATCATCAAAGAGAATCATCAGGAAGGAAAAGAAACAGGAAGAGGAAACAGGGCAGCCCAGGGCACAAAATCCAGGCGTCTGGTACCAGAAGTCACTAAAGTCAAAATGTCAGGGTCAGGAGTAATTTTCACCCCCACTGTCAACGTCAACGCCACTGCCTGCTGTTCCCCTCATTTAGTGAAAGCAGCCACCACAGCCCATAGCAGCTCGTTGGTGTTGGCCTTCATGCTCTCCCCTTCTGGCTCCAGTTCCAGCAGCTGCCGCACTCTCTTCATGGCGAGGTCATACTGATCATCTAACAAGGGGGCAAAGGCATTTTCCAGAACATCAGAGGAATGGGCTAAGAAGATGAGAGCCAGGAGCCGCTTGTCCATTCGATGAGGATCATTCACCCACTTGTCCAGCACAGCCTCCTGCACCTTCTTAATGAGGCGCTGTTTGATGTTGTTGTTGGTCAGGGGATGTGTCGTCATGTCAAACAGCAAAAAGTTCTGCTTCTCCGTAGTCAGGACACCTTTTTCCACCAGGTTTTTGGCCAGCCGTTCACGGACGTTCCTCAGCTGGTAATGAAGCTTCAACGGGTTCCACGTCTCTCCTACAAGGAGCCAACAGAACAGAGAGCGTTAGTGCTGTCACACGCCAGCATAACCAGCTCAGCTACGCCTACACCACAGACAACAGGAAGAACCGCATCAGCGCCAGTACAGCAAAGGCCTCAATGAACCTTCAGCTCAATAAACTGTAGACAGTTTGGTGTGATTGGAGATGCTGGTTCTTTAAAGTTGTCGGTGGACTGGTTGTTACAACAACATGCCTGTCAACCTATTCAGGAAGACTGTTATTTACCTGCTTCACAGTGCACACATCACAGCACTCACACTAACTACACTTTACCTGCAGACACAGTGTTTTGCTAAGAGTCACTTGGAAACACAGTGAGGAAGCACACAGTGCAGTGGGAGAGCCCACAGCAGCAGGACAGCTGAACTCACCGCTGAGCAGCTCGATCCAGCTCTGCACAGTCTCTGGTGGCTGAGTGTCTTTGATGTGTTTGAGAGCTTCGTCCAGGAGCACATCACCTGTAGGAGCATCTGACTTGCAAATCACCTGCAAATGCATCCAGAATCAGAGCAGGCAGAGCGTGGAAATGTTCTTAACCCTGAAAGAATCCTGAAGTTAATCCAGGCTTTGCTGAACCATGAAAAAGTCCTTACCAACAAAGTGGGAGCAGATTATTATAGTAAAGACTGACACGACGTGAAACAGCACCGAGTGACCTAACCCATATGGAAAAGAAATAGTAAAAACATATGATTTACTCATGAAAGTGGCCACTTTCTCATTACTTTCATATATTTTTTTTAGGAAGTATACAAAACATACAAGTTTCATTATATAATTTTTCAAGGGATCTTATATCTGTTTTCTACGGAAGCGTAGAGCTGCCACCCAGGCAAAAGAAAAATACAAGTGTATCACGTTATAACGTGAAAGGTTTATTGTTCTAACAAGCTACTTTTCCTGTTTGTACAATATAATATTTATATTGTACGAACATGATATTATGTTGTACAAACGTGAAAAGTATCTTGTTAGAACAATAAACCTTTCACGTTATAACGTGATACACTTGTATTTTTCTTTTGCCTGGGTGGCAGCTCTACGCTTCCGTAGTTTTCACTCTTGTATGCTTTTCATACAAGTTTCATACAAGACCGAACAAACTTTATAAGATTTATAAATATCTTTTCCATATGGGAAAATACAAACAACTAGGCATGTGTGGGACTAGTCATCGTCGCTGCTGTCACTAGTCAGTACCAGACTTACTAGTCAGTTAATCTGTTAAAATTTTATTCTCAATTATGATAAATGGTTGTGTCCTAAGCAGCCACCAGATGGAGCATCGTTGTTGAGAAACACATCAAATCTCAGCCTGATGTTTTGTTATCAAAAATTAACATCAAAATAAAACGATGCTCAGTTTTAGTATTTGCTAGTTTGGTGAAACCTTTTATTAGCGCATTATTAGTAAAACTTTAAGTTGTGGTTTATTGTAATACCTAGGGCTGTGCCATATGACCAAAATGTTATATCCCAAAATAGGACATTCATCGTCCCGACAACCACATATATCACAAAACGCTTACATTTTCTGTCAGTTCGGTGAATCTCGGGCAGCTCGACCTGTGTGAAGTGTTTCAGCCGGGCGCCGTGTAGCTGGAGTCGAGTGTTTTGGCCGATGCATGAAACTGTAACAGCCGCATTTGCTTTGTATTCATTACACGGCGTGCTGCGGGGAAAAGCCTGTTCTAATGTTTGAGTCGAAGGTTTATGTTTTAGCACCTGACGGCTCTTTCACTTCTCATCCGTAAACACTCTGCGTACTCTTTCACGTGATTCAGTTTATTTTGAAAAATCTCAACAGGATCTTCAGCTTTACCGTAAAAGGTTTATGTGGAAAACAAACAAGTGGACGTCAGAGCTGTCACTACCCGATCCGTACCGGAAACCTGATCGGTACTACGCATGTGTGAAAGGTGTCTCCTCCCGGCTGAAGCATTTTACGCTAGTTACGGGTCAGAGTATCTGTTAAGATGTTAAGAATAATAAATATCTCTTAAATTGTTTGCAGTAATGAAACATTTCAATGTAATGTAGACAAAAATGAAAAATAAAACGATAGTTACAGATCAGGACTCCCCGATCTGTACCGCGCATGTGCAGATTTTTCTTCTTCTTCTGTTCGTTTAATGGCAGTTTACTCCCCAATGTACAAGGATACCGCCACCTGCTGACCGAGCGAATGAACCCTATTGTAAAATGAACTAGCGTCATTACAAACGCGTGTTAAATTTGATTTAGTGATAGTCGAGTGTGTTTATGCTCGTCTGTGTAGAGAGGATTGTTGGAACAGCGATGATGATGTGCGCTATCACTGTCAATTGTCAGTAAACACTTAATCGGGCTGCTGAATCTTCACGTGTCATATTACTAAGTCAGTATTAGTAAGTCTGTAATTAGGCGCCATTCTTCTTATTTTACAGCGCTGTTGTTTAATCGGGGGACGAGAAAAGCATGAATTTGTTTGTAAACGGATTATCCATAGTTTAAATGTCCTGGCAGTCGAAAAGGAGGCAGAGCTGTTGAGAAATGCTAGGAGCTAACTGGGCGCTAACCGTGTCACTCTTAACTGTCGCAATGTTGGCAAAGAGAGGAAGTGACGTAAGATTTGCATATGCGTGGTACGGATCGGGTAGCGACAGTAGCCACGTGCTTCCCTCGGGTCCTCAATTGTTGTGACACGTGTTCGAAATGCAGAGAGGTGCGCTCGATTTGCCACACGGAGCAGCACGAGAGTAAAGCATGAGGGAGGTGCTAATAATCAGTCATTTTTAATGATCGCTGAAAGCCCAGATCGTAATCGAGATTAAAATTCGATTAATTGAGCAGCCCTAACTGTAAATACAAAAAAGTTGCACAAAATTATTTCCAACTAGGGCTGAGCGATATATCGAGTTTTTTTAAAAATATCGATATACGTGTTAGCGAGCTAACCGCGCTAACGAGCTAACTGCGCTAACGACATGCAGCCCGGAGGAGCTGCACGGCCTAAAATCCTTTCATTTTCTCAAAAATCGACAGTGCGCCTTATGTATGAATTCTGGTTGTGCTTACTGACCGCGAACCGATTTTATGTGGTACACAGCGCTCAGCAATCTGTCAAAAAATGTTTTAATATGACTTTGCTAAGCTACGGAGCTGCACCGCTTGATGGATTGTCAGAGGATTACGGCTACCGGGGAGGAGCCTCACGGAGTGATACGTGCTGTGCTTCAACGTAATATTACCGTACTGTGTGTGTATAAGGACCACAAATGGCACCTGTTCAGAGACGTGGTGCAGCTGTGAAATCTGTCTCTTTGTTATCATGTCTATTAGTTTACATTTTGACTGCACAATTGTGAGCTTTTTGTTATGCACAAAAACAACATTGTTTTCTTTTATTTATGGACCATGATTATTTAATAAATGCTGATAATTTATTTTTGGGTAATTTCTTCATGTACATCTACGCTGTATGTAAATAAAAGTGCCCGTGTGACATCTGGGACACAGTGTGACTAAGAACTCTCTTTTTGTTCTTAACTTATGGCTTTAAAAAAATAAATAAATAAATAAATCGAGATATATATCTTATATCGCCATCCAGCTAAAAAAATATCGAGATATGAATTTTGGGTCATATCGCCCAGCCCTATTTCCAACCACAGGAAATTTATTTTGAGTGTCTTCATAGTTTTGTTTTTGAAATACACCAATTTTTATATACTGCAGGAAAACCAAAAATAAATATTATCATGCAAATTTGCAAAGAAAATGGCATATGCATCAAAATAAACTATTTCCAGCAGTGCAATCTGAGTCCTAAGCATCCCAGAAACGACACAGAAAGTCATAAAGTCAAACATAACTTTTAAAAACACCAGTATAGGCTCATGAGGCCCTGAAGGTAAAAAACTACATTTCCGCGAAAAATGACGTCACTTCCGGTTCCGGGCAGGTGATGGCAGACATGTGATAGTTCGCGCTGACGTCTATTCCAACGTAGGAAGTGCTATGAACAGCTGATCGGATCGGCAAAGCGTGTTTCTGGAATATTATGTTTTTGTTCCTGCAAGTGTTTTTTATGAAATTTTTGCAAAGCTTTATGTGGAAGGAAACCGTGACCGAGGACAAGCTGATGGCATAAGATGTCAGTACAACTCCTCCGGTTTCTTATGAAAAAAAATTCTTGCGCTAGCTTGCATGGTTGCAGTTCTACTGGGATTTAAAAATAGTTACGCAAAACGGAGCGTGCCCGCTCCAACCGGCTTTAAAGGGTTAAAAAGACTAATAACTAATAAAAACTAAACATTTTGAATGAATCCAAACTAAACTGAAATGAAACTGAATTAAAAACAAAGAACATCTTCAATGCAATAAAAACTGATTAGAAGATACAAAACTGTAACAACATGAGATTTTAGGTGTGTGCTTGGACATGAACAGCTGATATTACACGTCTGTTAAAGATGATTGTTCCTGTGCAGGCCTTCACTACACACCGTGACACCATGACACTAATACACCAGCAGGGTGACGATGTCTAAACGGGAAACAGCTTGTGTACACAGTGAAAGCTTAAACATAACCGTGTCGTACCTTCCTGGCCAGCAGACCTTTCCTCCTCATGCCACAGGCCTCCAGCTGAAGGCGTCCTCGCAGGGCCAGCTCGATCAGCATGCACCCTCGCAGCCCTGATGAAATGCAGTCATTCCAGAATGAGGTGTAGCCCTGTGCAATGGGACACATCGTCACAATCCAGGTTGTCAAAGAGTGCCAGAAGCCGACGAGCTCAGTACCGAATCATTGCAGGTACTTGGGGCTAGAGCAGGGCGATATGGCCAAAAATATTTATCACGATATATATTTGAAAATTTGCGATAACGATATAACCGACGATATAATTGATGCGAGACAAAATACAACTCCACAACATTACTAGCGCAAAAAGACAACCTTCCATTTATTTTCACTTAAACAAGAAGCTGGTTTTTATGTACATTAAAGCTTTATAAAAATGTAACAGTGCAAATGCAAATTCCTTGCTGAAAGTTTAACCAAAAGGCATTTCCAGTAGAAATAGGCTGACACATCCTGAGCATAACCATGTATAATATCCACTGAAGTTAAAAAGAGGTGCATTGCAACATTAAACTGCAGTGTGCAGTACGCATTTTTCGGACCATAAGGTGCACGGGATTATAAGGCACATTAAGCGAAACAAAGCAGTCAGATAAATCAAACTTTATTAAACTCATTCTTCTTGCTTCCTCCACTTCTGTACCATTGATTCATTAATGTTGAATTCTCTGGCAGCTGCTCTATTCCCATGTTGTTGCAGTATATTAATGACTAACCTCGTATTGTGGATGGATTATTTCAGTTGTTCTCCTGACTGAAGTTTGGTCCGTTTACAGCATCCTGCCATGCGATTGCATTTGTCTCTAACCATGAAGAACCTTCACGTTAACTTTTATAAGTGGAAAAGTGTTAGTGTTCGTCCTCCAGCTTCACTGTTTATGTTATGCTAACATAGCTGTGTCGCTAGCGATCACGTAGCACATCATTATATACCAGCTAGCCCAACTTCAGTAACCCTACAAACGTCACTGCTGTTTAGTTTCCTGTCTTCATTTATGTTGGAAGTGATAGCAGAGCTGTACGTTTGATTTTTTTCAGAAATCTCTCAGTCAGAACATGCTATATCATGCTTAGGTAACTAGCGAAACTAGCGAGCTAACTTCCGCTAGCTTCCTGCTAACTTCTAACTCCGTTAAATGTAATAACTTTTGTTTTCATGGATGCCTGGAAGTTAAACTTCATAGTTACACCTGGTAAAGCAGCAATGCTGATCGTTTTATTAAAGATGAAAGAATTTAGACAGTTTTTAACTCTAAGTGATGCTGCAGTGTTGTTTGACCTGAAGATTAGGGAGTTTAGGACCCAGATTACTCCCAGATTTAAGAGCATCTTAGTCCGACAAATAACAAACAACGGTCGCTTGCATGTTCTGCAAAAAAAAGTGCTTTGTTGTGTATCTGACGGACAAACACCAAACCAGTTCCACATCACTGAAGTTGCACCATTTTTACAAACCAATTCTGGTTCATCTGTTTCACTCAACAATCGGCCATGTGTGTATGAAAACAAAGGCACTGCGCATGCGCGTTTTACTCCCATTCTATCGCGATATTTCATTTTCCTATCGTTGCCTAACATTATACCGGTATTACCGTGAACGGTATAATATGGCCCAGCCCCACTTGGGGCGCCTTGAGGTGACTTTTGTTGTGATTTGGCGCTATATAAATAAAACTGAATTGTATGAGTGTGTCACAGGGCTAACACACAGAGACAGACAACCATTCACACTCACATCCACACCTAAGGGCACCAACTAACTCAACCCCACTAACTGCATGTCTTTGGATGGAGGGCGGAGCTGGAGAGCCTGGAGAGAACCCACGCAACCACGGGAGAACATGCAAACTCCCCATAAAGGGAGGTGGGGGAATCGAACTGCATCCTGTTTGTGGTAAATTCAGTTGACTGTACATGATTGGGAAAGGCACACAGCTGTCTACATAAGCTCCCATAGGTAACAGCACAAGTCAGAGCACAAACCCAGCCATCAAGTCCAAGAACGTGTGTAAACCAGGACTGTATCGAGGCACAGATCAGGGGAAGGGTACAAAAAAAGACTTCTGGCACTGAAGGTCCCAGAGTACAGTAACATCATCTATAAACAGGAGTTTGGAAACACTTCTTAGAGCTGGCTAATCTGAGCAGCACATGACAGGCGCTTGCAGTTTGTCACCTGAGGGACTCTCAGACCATGAGAAACAAAAGTCTGATGAAACACAGATTGAACTCTTTGGCCTGAAAGACAAGCATCATGTCTGGAGGAAACCAGGCGTCCCTCATCACTTCCTTACAGGTGCTGCCCATGGTGGTGGCAGCATCATGCTGTGGAGATGCTTTCTAGCAGCAAGAACTGGAAGACCAATGAGAGTCAAGGGAAAGAGGAACGCAGCGACATACAGAGACGTGATAACGTGCTCCAAAGAGCTCTGGATCTGGAGGGGAGTAAGCTGTGCTTTTGCTTTGACGATCAAAAATGTCTTGTTCCTCACCTCCCACAGAGTTACTCACCGATCCTGACAGAACATATATGCATGTGTCCGTACTGACAGCAGTGTAAGCTGAGTGAGCTCTGGGAGACACTTTGACACTTTTGAGGCAGAATATGGACCACAAATGTCATCGTTGTTCACTGTTAGCATCACAGTGGAATCATGTTTTGGCCAACGGGGTTGTGAGTCGGTCACACGACTGAAAACTGAGTAAATGGCTCATTTTAATGTGTGCACCACCCAGGCTAACTTTTATGATCATTATTTAACAGTTGTTGTTGCAGCAGAGCTTTTCTGACCTCTGACATTCCTCCTGAAGTTGTTCAGTGCTGTGAATGTAAACTACTTCAGTCAGTGAGGGAGGGACTGAGTGCTGGTCTGTCTGTCAGCTGGAGGAGGCAAACACAGCACCGTTTGTCTCAATATTGTTGACAATTTCAATTCTAGATGACCTGAATATCAGATTATCAGTTCTGTTAACAACCAATCAGCAGCAACTTGTCATCAAAGCAGAGTCCCACAGCCTGGCATGGGTGAGAGAGGACCACGCTCTACTTTATCAACATGGATCTGAAGGAATAATGTTTGGTCACCCACTGAAACGCATCCGTCTTCATTTCTCAGCCAAATTTGTGATAAACTGGAGTCTTGTTGTGTACCTGAAACTCTCCATCAGCCATTTGGCTACTGAAGCTGCTGCATTTACTCTCTACAGAAGAAAAAACAGTTGTTTGTGTTGCTGACGTCAAAGTTAAAACGAGCAAACATGGTTTGTAATTTTGTTTAAACTGACACAAGTTTCCTGTTAAATTTGGAGGTTGAATGACTCCGTTTTAGTTGCATTCCTAATGTTATGTGAACGGGACTGAATCCGTACTCGAGGATTTTAGATTTATCGGTGGATTTCACTTTGCTTGCTGTTCGTAGTTCAGTGACAGCAAATCATCGATACATCTAAACACACCTTTCACTGGTACTGTAGCACTTAGTATTAGTTATAATCAAACACTCCTGTAAACAGTTTTTTACTTTGACTCCATTCCGTTTATTCTTCTTACTCATTGTGTTAGCTTGGAGCTACTAACATCAACGCCAGGATCGTCGCACGTATTCTCCGACCATTACTGCTGAACTACTGGAAAATATCATTTCTTCTCATAATCGTGTAGCACCAGACATTAGCTATCTCGCTGCAGACTGAAGACAGCAACTGTTGTTAGCTACAGCTAGCATTGTAGCAAGCAGGGATGCTAACTTACATAGAGCTGTTTGGAGACTACAGCTAACGTTAGCCGAGCGATAACATTTAGCTTATTTGCTACAGCGTTAAGGCGCAGTTTATCTGCCATTACCTCTCGGTCCTTCAGTCCTAACAGCAACACTTCTTCCATCAGTGTAAGACGTGTTTCTTTGGAGTCTCCGGTATCATCATCGTCCTGATCCTCCGCTCGCCGGGGCCCGTGATCTTCTTGGCCGGACGGTCGGTCTTTCTCAGCGGCGTTACGCGAGGCTTCGGTCCGCCTCTGCACGAGGCCCGAACTCCTCTGAGTCAACGAAGTCATTTCTGCCGGCGAGTGTGCTCAACAACTACGAAAGCAGAAAGTCTGGGACTACGTTCACCCAAGTACTTGTCAACCATAAGTATTTTGCGTATAGGTTAGTACCCTTATCAGGAGGAGTCCTCCTCCCCTTCCCCACCTTCCGCACCAGCGTCTGTCTAATATGGCGCCGAGCGGAGACTGTGGTACCAAACCTGCTGGATGGGTTTGGTACCACAGTCCTGCTGGATACCAAGCGACCCACCTTTAACTTAGTCTGAACGCCACACCAGCTGGCTAAAAGGCTCAGGCTTGGACAGACTCACTGGACTCCTCCATATAATAACAAAATCTAAATACATACACAGATTCATGAAAACAAATAAGTACATTAAAAATACACTTGTTCCCAAGTGGAACCACAAGATAAACATGATTAAAGAACCAAATTAGTTATTCTGAACCTGTTCCTCTCGTGCTCTGTGTCCATTAATCATCTTAACTAACAGGGAAGGAATGAGTGCTTGTACTGGTCGTGCTGACATAGAAAAGCTGTGTACCGTTGCCCGAACTTTAATAAAACACTCAGAATGCAGAGCATGCAGATCTGTTATAATGCCGTCTGCCTGTGTGAGGATGGTCTGCTAGTAATTCTTGAGAGTTTCACAACATATTGATTTGGCTGGGAGCTAGTACAGTCATGAGTGTAAAGGTGCTAAACGCCGTGTCAGAGAAGACAGAGTTCAGCTTTACCTGCTGTGGCCCGTCTGACAAAGAGCGATACCAGTTCATCATCATCGTTTATTTGTATAGCACTTTAAAAAAAAACACACCAGGCAGACCAAAGTGCTGAACAACACAAATCAAAACAACAAAGTTAAAATACAATAAATTAATAAGAAAGGTGTCAGTTTCCTAAAAGCCAGGGAATAAAAGTAGGTTTTCAATCTGGACTTAAAGACCTGCACTGATGACACTTGTCTAATATGGAGGGGAGGGTTATTCCAAAGCATCGGTCTCCTCTGCATTTCAGCCGCGACTTAGGAACTGACAGCAACAGCTGCTCAGCTGAACGGAGCGAGCGAGTAGGAACATGTGACTTCAGCAAATCAGATAAGCATACAGGAGCCAGACAATTTAAAGATTTAAAAACCAATAAAAAGGACTTTAAAACGAACCCTAAATTAAATGGGAAGCCAATGTAAAGAAGCCAGGACCGGAGTGATGTGATCGAATTTTCTACTACCGGTTAAAAATCGTGCTGCTGCATTTTGCACTAACTGCAGGCTTGACCAAGTGCCCAACCCAAGCCCAATTAAAAGTAAATCACAATAGTCCAGACGTGAGGTGATAAAAGCATGAATAAGAGTTTCCAAATTGCGTTTGAAAAGAAAAGGCTTGACCTTCGACAGGCGTCTGAGGTGATAAAAAGCTGATTTTAACATTTACATGACCATCGAAGGTAAGTGCGGAATCAAATTTAACACCAAGATCAGTGATTGAACTTTTCAAATGGGAGGTCAAATCACCAAACATCAACATCTGGAGAATCAGTAGAACGATGCGGGCCAAATAAAATTCTGTTTTTGGTCATTAAAATTTAGAAAGTTATTTGCCATCCATGATTTGACATCGCTAAGACAGTCAAGCAGAGATTGACATGGGGAGGTATCCAAATGACTAAAAGGTAAGTAAAGCTGGCAGTCATCGGCATACAAATGAAATGACACTCCGTGTTTACGAAAAATCGCACCAAGAGCGAGTAAATACAGTGAGAAAAATAAGGGCCCGAGGATAGATCCCTGGGGGACACCCCAAAGCAGAGGGGCCACAGAGGACGCGGCCAACCCCAGCTTAACACAAAAACTCCTTTCGGAAAGTTATGATTTTATTCACGACAATGCCAAATCAGAAATTCCCACACAGTGGTGTAAGCGGGAGATCAGCAGGTCGTGGTCCACTGTGTCAAATGCAGCTGTCATGTCCAATAAGACAAGCGCAGCATATTTACCACAATCAGTCGCAACAAGAATGTCATTCATAGCTTTAACAAGAGCTGTCTCCGTACTGTGAAAAGGCTTAAAACCGGATTGAAAGATTTCAGACAGCTGCGAGTCATTCAAGTAGTCTAACAGCTGGGTATGTACAATCCTCTCCAAGATCTTGCTTAAAAAGGGAAGCTTGGAGAAAGGTCTAAAATTCGACATAACAGAACTATCAAGGCCAGGTTTCTTAAGTAAGGGATGTATGACTGCATGTTTAAAGGTCCATTAGACATGGATCCACATTCAGCTGGATCAGTTTTTCAGAAGGACCTGAGGCGAATTAAGAGCAGAGCTAAAATCAATCCCACATATGGTAAATGGACTGGATACACTTTTCTGCTCTATCTGAGCACTCACAGCGCTCTACACTAGTTGTCACTTTTTCCTACACACTTCCTGTCTAACATCCACACTCTGATTGATACATCAGAGATGCAACATGGGGTTAATGTCTTTGCCCAAGGATATTTGGCAGCAGACTAGGATCAAACCACCAACCTTCCAGTTAGTAGGTGACCACCCCACATGCAGAGGGACATGAATTATCAGCAAACATTCATAAAAAATAAACAACAGTCTGGTCTTATATAACCTACTGTTCCCACCTAAACTATTCAGCCTCTTCTCTCAAGAACTTCTGCCGAGATTTTTGTCAGTTAGCACCCGCCCGGCTGTAGCTGGGTTTAATTTATTCTGGTGCTAGGATTTAAAAACTACAAATAAAATAAAATTATAACCCTTACCTTTTGACTGGCAACTGTCTCAGGTTGGACTGATGACAGCTGGGTTAAGGTCCAAACCCCTGCCACTATTTTAGACAAGAAGAGTGTTTGAAGAGAATGGATGGAATTAAAATCAGCAATGTTGAAGTTTTCTATGAAGCAGTACCCTAAAAAGACCAATAAATGGCGCCATTGTACCATTTGCCCTGTAGAGTAGCTCTGTTATACCTATTCTTCATACTGTTTGTGAGGGAGTTCACCTGTCTTTCCCAGGGTACAAAAGTTGACCAAAAATGGACTGAAGAAAAAAAATCTATAAGAAAACTTAGATGGAGGTATGCCTTCACGCACGCTCCATCATCCGGGTAAGGAAATCCCAGAAAGTTGATTCTGTTCATCTGTTTTCAGTGGGAGAAACGCTTCGTCATCATCAGGTGACTTCTTCAGTCTTAGCCCTAACCCTAACCCGACACATCAGATTCACCAGGGAGGATATGAAAAGTGGCAGGGTAGCCTTCTTAGACTGTGAGATTTCCATCAGTAATGGGGGACATCTAAAAGCTGACGTGTACCGTAAACCTACACATACGGATCAGTATCTAAGGTTTGACTCACATCAAACGTCATTATATGCTCTCTATCCATCCATCCATCCATTCGCTTCCGCTTGTCCTTTTCAGGGTCGCGGGGGGCGCTGGAGCCTATCCCAGCTGTCATAGGGCGAGAGGCAGGGTACACCCTGGACAGGTCGCCAGTCTGTCGCAGGGCCAACACACAGGGACAGACAACCATTCACACTCACATTCATTTGCACATTCACACCTAGTGACAATTTGGATTTTCCAATTAACCTATCCCCATATGCTCTCTATTGTTCTATTATACTGCCTTACAGGACATACTGTGTGGAAGTGTGGGGAAACGTATAAAACACATCCAATATACATTCTGCAAAAAAGAGCATGTAGTTTGTTGTTGCTGTGGTTTACGTGCTGGAAATGGTTTTATTTGTGTATGCTCATGTGTTAGTGTGTATCTATACATCCATCCATCCACTGGAGCACAAACTGGGGGTCATCAGGACGCTACAACACAGAGCGAACACCATCCCCACAGACACAGCAGCCAGGGAAGCAGAAGAACATCAAGAAGGCCCTGAGTAAATGTGGCTATCCCAGCTGGATGTTTGTCAAAGCTGGAAAGGCTCCTAAAAAAAGCTCCAGCCGATCCAGGAGTACGTGTCAGGAGTATCAGAATAGTTGAGACAAAATCTCATCTCTTTGACTTTCAAACCCCAAAACGTGCTGCGATAAGGATCCAGAGTATCAAACAGAGTAACATAGTGTGCGCTGTTAAGTGCAGGAGGATTGGCAGGATTTATACATCGGGGAAACCAAAGAACCTCTGGCTAAGAGGACGGCACAACACAGCAGAGCCACCTCGTCAGGCCAGGACTCTGCAGTCTATTTACACCTACAGGCCAGTGGACACTCTTTCAATGATGAGGATGTAACATCCTGGACAGGGAGGAACGCTGGTTTGAGGGCGGAGTCAAGGAGGCCATTTACGTGAAAAGGGAAAGACCATCTCTGAATGGAGGAGGGGCCTAAGGGTACATCTATCACCATCTTACAATGCTGTGATTGCAGCCATTCCCCAACTCTCTGTGAATTCTTGAATGTGTTGTCTGTCACTTCTTTTCACCCACTTGTCCACATCATCTGTGTGGGTGTGGCATATCAGTGGCCCTGGTACTGACCTCCCAGTCCATTGTTCATCAATGGTGCTAGTTTCAGTCAATAACCAAATGTACTGTTGTGTAAACCTGCAGTCAGCTGAGAGTCACCTGGATGAGTCATGAAAACTCTTCATCCAGATGAACAGCTGCAGTCTCTCACCCTCATTTTTCAAATACATTTAATAGCAAACACTCATAAAGCAGTTTCCATCTGAAGAGGACATACCATGTTCAGACATCAGAGACTAAAACAGCTCTGCTATCACTTCAGACATAAATAAAGACAGAGTGTTTGAAGGGTTAGTGAAGTCTGGCTAGCTGAAACATAGTGTGCTACCTGGTGGTGCTAACATAGTGTAATGAAGACCGAGGAATAGTGGTAACTAATAATAATGAAAGTAAATGTGATTGGATGAATGCAGTCCGACAGTGACCAGTGATTATTTTCAGGGGCTTGTTTGTGCCAAAAAAAGGAAAATGCAAAGCACTGCAACATGTTAAAAAGATGGCCGCCTTAATAAACTCAGTAGGAGCTTGGAACCAGAGGCAGGGTTGATACGTCACCATATATGACCTATTGTTCTACATGTTGGAACAGCAGGTCCTACTAAATAATGATGACGTGCACCAGACACGTCTTAGTATCAATAAGCATAAAACAAGAAAGGCACTGCTAAGTGAAATGAAAGGGCACAACTGGTAGAACTCGCAGTACACATGGGGCTCAATCTAGGCTGACTGCTGCAGAGCCACGTGTTTACCTG